TTTCAGTCCGGCTGTTTTCTGGGGTTTTGTTTAGCTTCTTATTTGCAACATAGTACATAGTTGCTTAGAGTTGCAGCTGAGAGGCCGGCAAGTTAGGCAGGGAACGTTGGAGTCCGCAGTCATTGAAGCAAGCAAGCCTCCCTGCTCGCTTCAGTGCATGGCTGCCGGCCGCCTTCTCTTGGCTGACAGTTAATTTGCATAAGGATATGCTGAGTAGCCAATGGGAAGGGTAGCGGTCGTACGTTAATTACCATGTTTCTCTTTTATTAGTGTAGATAAACTTTGAGTAATATTCTTTAATTTTAAATTTAAAAATCAGTGATACATTCACATGGTCCAATATGAAAACAATACAAAATGTGAGGCCCGATGCACGAATTTGTGCATGGGTGGGGTCTGGCCGGCCTGCCCCAATTGGGCCAATTGGGCTGGGCCGGCCTAAGGAAGGGCCGCAGGCAGTTGGCTGGCTGGCCCTGCCCCCTGGTTGAACTCCTGGTTGAACTCCCGGTCAAACTCCTGATCCAGGGGACAATTTGCATGTTAGCCTTTTATTATATATGATGATATATATTGAGAGGACTGTCCCAATCTACTCCGGTCCCTCTTTCCTCTTCCCTCTTTCCTTATAGGTAAACATACTGTTAGTTCCTTGCGTATATTCTCAGTGTTTATGCCAATTGAAGCAAACGCAAACATCCACATTTTCCTCCCTTTCCCACTGTTTTTGAGAAAGCATTTGAGAGAGAAGAAACTGGCCTTGTTTGTGCCAGTGGTGGCACCACATGAGTAGAGAAAGCATAGTGGAGTATCAGAAGCTTAGAAGAATGGTAATTAGTTATTTAGATTGCCGGAATCACATTATTTGACATTAGTTCTTTGGTTAAAGCTATTCTTTGGGCCTCTTAATTCTTTAAATACCCCAAATTCTTGTCTGCACAAGCAAAGTTTCAAATGATTCATATAGCTCATCTCTCTTGCTTAACAACAAAATATGCATATGCCACATCCGTAAGAAAAGAACAGAAAAGTACAATATTGAGTGGAATGCAGGATCCCTTTAAGAATGGCTCACCCACCCAGAGGTCTGAACATGGACATCCAGTGGGATGGTGGCTATAGCCCGAGGAAAGAGCTTTTATTCTGACTCAGAAGCTTTTCTTCATCTTACCTGCACCCATACACAGAGCAAACAAGGACCTTAGAAACATCTTACACTGCTGACACTTAGGCATCTACAAAAGAATAACTTTATAGACTTTAGAAACAACTACAGGAATGTGTATGTAACTTTATAATTGATAGTGGGCATTGTCAGGGACTGTGTCAGACCCCAAGAACAATTAAATAATTTCAAACTCATATTTTGGAAATGAACAGGCAACAATGACAACAACCTGTCTTTCAAACAAGTTGAAACACAATAATGATGCAATCTGTTGTATTATATGCCAGATGAGTAAAAGATAAATTCTGAATGACATAGAATTATCGCATAGGCACACATTATAACTGTTACTTTAATGGTTAATGGTCGATGTTTTCTAAAGTTATATGATAGGTAGTATGTAGAAATCCAATAAAATTTGATTAAATATTTAAAGAAATCCTTAAGAGAAAACATTTATCTTGATTTTTTTATTTTTTAACTAGCTTTTTTTATTGAAAGCAAACTACGTGAACGTTGTAAGATATGTGAACAGTGCAAAAAGTGTCCAGTGAAACGAATCTCCTTCCCAGCTTGCCAGCCCAGTGCTGCAGACACAACCAGCATTCCACTTTCTCATGGTTCCTACAGAAAGAGCCTGCGTGTTGTAGTATGTAAATATCTCTAGTTAAAAACACAAACCAGAGCACGCTGTAAACCTGTCCTTGCCTTGGCCTCACTCAGTCTGCAGCTGCACAGGAGGACCCTGCTGCCGAATACCCCACTGGAAGGAAGGACCTTGGGCCGCTCAGCGGGCCCTCACTGTGGATGACTCCCCTAGGCAGTGAGTGACAGTCCTTTGTAGAGTAAAACAAAATCCCCTCTGGTAACCTCTTTTTATAAACATATTTTATAAACACATCCCAAGTGTTGCCCGACTCCCCCTTTCTGGCATCTAAAAATTCACTGGTCCCCTTCTCGGCGGTCACACCCTCTGCTGCCGAAGTCCATTCCTTTGTAAACCTGGCCCGCTTTCCAGTTGTTTCAGGCAGGAGGAGAGCTCTGATCCCTGCTACTCCATCTGGGCCAGAAGCAGAAGTGTCATATTTTTTAAACACAGAAGTGCTTCCTAAACTTGGAGGTAGACAGTCGTCTGAGCAGCTCATTAAAATAAAGATTCCTGGGCTCCCACCCAGAAACTCTGGCTCGGAGGGCTGCCTGGGAATCTGTATTTTAACCAGCACTTGGAACAATGTTGATGCAGCCTTACTATGGCCCTGGCTGCTTGGGAGCCGCAGGCTTCAAGGATGGTATTTATTTGTCAGCTGTCCTCAAGTGATGCCACCATGTGGATGTTTTGTTTTTCAGATGAACGAAATAAAATAAATGGTGAGATCGATTCCTTGCCAGACTTTGAATTATTGAGTTTGTGGAAACACAGGGCCACCTCTGAAGAGCATCAGAAGAGGCCAGAGTTCTGTTCTCAGAGACAGCTCTGCCCAGCATGTGACACAGCAGACCCAGTGAGCTGAAGGCCGGTGGGGCATCGAATTGGAAGGGGCACATCTACTTGTCTGCACAGAGAGGGCGCGAATGCCAGCAGCTTCAGCTTGGTTCAACTCGTTTTGGAAAGTATTTCTGGCTTGTGTGGTTTTATGCTTTCAGAGTTCCATTTTTAAGCACAGGGCTTGTCCAAACCCACTGACGCTGAGCTGAAGCATCCAAAGGAGATGCTGAGTTTCACACCAATCTCTGCTGAGTCTGCAAAAAATTTCTCAGACTTGCCCCAACTGCTTTGTTGAGAAACAAAAACAAAAACCACCAATCCCAGTGGGGTTTGTAGGGTCCTGTGGTTTTCGTCCAAAACTATGGCAAAGCAGTGGTCGGTCATGTGACTTACAAGCCTAAAGGTTTCATTATGAAACCTGAAAGAAACCCACAGGCTTCGGTCTTAAAATATACTCCCATGAGACAAACGAAAAAAGAAACAGAAAATCTTCTCAGTTTGGGCCTGGAAGCATAGTGGAAGAAAATACGTCCAAACCAAATGTTGTCAGGACTCACTACGTTTTAAATCCAGAGCTGAACTTCACTCCGTTGAGGTCACACTGTTCATTAACACTGTCTGTGGCGCTGGATTGTCTAGAAAAGTTCAGGAGAGCTGGAGGCCCTCTCTTGTTTGTGCCAGAAACAGAACTGGCCTATTGTCCAAGAAACAAAATGAGTTCAACAATGTAAGTGATGAAATTTTATTTTACCGTATCTCCCTTCTCTTAGGATATGCAGACAAGGTAGAAAATGAGTTTATATGTTCTACTCTTTAATAAAAAACTTGACTCATTAAATGTCAGCTCCCTTTACAACACTGACTCAAATTCTAGGGCACACAAGAATAACCTGGAGAATTTGTTACATCTGCATATTCTTGTTATCTGGATCACCAAACTTAGAGAGGCTTAAAGCAACACCATTTTATGATGTTGTGGATCAGGAATTCTGGCAGGGCACAGCTGGGTGGTTCTTCTGCTCCAAGTGATTGAAGCCACCCTCATGTGGTTTTCAGCTGGTACCTGGTCTCACGTGGAGAGTCCAAGTCGTGTCTGGAAAATTAGAGGGGAGACTATCAAGCTGGCTTGGCTGGGCTCTTCTCCCTCTCCATGTAGTTTTAGAGTCTCCCCATGAGGTCCAGGGTTCCGAGCCAAGGTTAGGCCTGGATCTGACAAAGTATCACTTCAATCTTCAGAGTCGCCATGGGCCAATTTCAAGGGTGAAAGAAGCAGACCCCACCTCTTGATGGGAGAAATGTCAAACAGCGTGGCCATGTTTCATCCACAGCAATGGAAACGCCAGCTGCACTCCCAGAAACTCTGGCTGATCATGTAGGTGCTGTGGAGAGTAGAAAAGGAGCATCAAGAAAAGTTCCCAGCCCAGAAGGTGCTCATACTTGACTGGAGATAGGGGTGGAGGGGTTAAATGTAGGGGTGGAGCCTGAAGGCTGGGATCCCCCCATAGGAGAGAGCAAGGTGGGGAGCAAGGGGCAGTACAATGTGGGCGCGAGTACCCAAGGTGACGGAGGAAAGCACCTGGAGCTGAACTATAGGAATTTATCAAAAGGTGTGTTAGAATGAGCAGGTAACCAGAATGAATTATGGGGGAAAGGGAGCAGGACTCTGCAGTTTCTACCCTGAAATGGGGCTGGGGCAGAGCAAGGGAGCAGGAGGCATGGGGGCTCCCAAGCAGTTTCCAGTGTGACCTTTTCTGCCTGGCTTTTGACAGGATCATTTCCCCTCATCTTTTATTCCTCCCCAATCCTGCTTTCTTTCTGGCCCTATTTGCCTTGTTGCTCCTATTCCAGCAGGCTATGCAGCTCAGCTACAGAATGGGCCAGTCTTCCCAGTAACAACGTGGACATTCAGTGCTGGCTTCTGACTCATCCTGCATATGGCTTCACAACCAAATCATCTCTGGGTTTCACCCCCAAGGCAGGCTCTCTCTCTCTCTCTCTCTCTCTCTGGTGTAAGGGGTGACTCTGGGGGGAGACATAGGGTTGGGAGGATCTCGGAGTTGGGTCCAGCTGTGAAGGATGTTACTGAGTCTGAGCACATTGCTAAAAACAATACTGAGAAAGAGCATCTGTAATCTGGAGATGCACGGATGAGACAACAGTGGTCTGAACTCTGTGGTTGCAGACCAAAATAGGGTAGGAGGGAGGGATGCACGAACAAGAGGGTCCAAGAGGCCCTTGTAAAGAGAGGCATGTGTAGGACGCCCCAGTGGTCAAATCTGGCTGCTCATAGATGTCTTATTGGTCTGGACTGACATATTCCACCCCCCGGGAAACAATCTCTTCTTGTCCCGACCAGGGGCTGCTTCAGTGCTAAGCCCTGAAGTTTTGAAATGAAAGCAGCATCCAGGGATGGCGTCAGCAACCAGGAGGTGCCTGGGCATACATGGAAGTCCAGGGCCAAGCTGGGAGCCAGGCACCAACCAGACGAGGAGCCAGAGGGCGGGCGAGAGGAGGCTGGGCAGCTGTGGCCCCCACGGCAGGGCGCTTCCGGGGCTGGAGGATGCTCTGCAGACAGGCAGAGGTCAGGGAGACAGAGAGCTCACAGGAGCAGGGCTAGGAAGACAGGCCAGGGTCACACTCTTGGTCTCATCGCCAGCAAGAGCTGGGACAGGAAGCAATTGCAAATCAGCCTAGGGCTTCTGGGTCTGACCTCGTGACAGGATGGGAAGAGAATACCAGGCCTCTGTGCCAGTCAGACAAAGGTGCCCCTCAGGCATGCAGTGGGTGTCTACTTGAGGAGAAAGGACCCCTCCTCCAGGCAGACTCAGGATTCAACCCCACCCCAGGTTTAGGGAACAGAGTGCAGCCTGGATTCAGCCTCCCGGGGCCCTCAGCCGAGCCCTGGTGCAAAGTTCGAAGTACATAACCACACGAGGTGACCGGTGTGGAGGCAGCAATGAGGGCTTTTTGGGCCGGAATGTTTCAATACACTGGCCAGATCTTGACATTTTTGACCATAAGTCAGGACAATTAGGGGTTTCTCTGTACCTCCTGAGACACAGGGGTGGCAAATTAGGCATCACCAGAAGGATAGGAAATCTTAACGCCAGGCTAATTGGAAAACCAGGGGCAAGTGGGTGGGCCCAGGTGCCTACGCATTGTGGTGCCAGCCGGCCTGTCCAGTAAGTGACTGGCTTGTGCAGGGGACAAGCTGAGAAAAGCTACTGAAAGGCACTGCTGCCAAGAATATTGTTCCAGTTGAATGGTAAGCCATGCTCCCCGCCCCGGCAACTGGAGGACAAAAGCTTCTGCTGTGCTCCTTTCAAGATCAGGAAAACACCACCTCACTGTGGAGCCACCTCAGAAGATTTCAGGACACTTGCACCAAAAAGCAACCGTGTTCTGCACGCCTTGCCACGCCCAGGGAGGCCGGAGCCCCTGACCAGTAAGCTTCTGTTTTGCTAGTCAAAGAAAGCCCTTAAAACACCTCCACTTCCTAACTTGTCACCCACCATTTCCTTATCCGTAGATGTCAGCATTCCCAGTGAGTGTGTTGGTTCTGGCAAGAGGCTCTTGACCTGATTTCTCTTTCAGTGCATTTGACCAGTTAGGTCTTACTTAGGCTGATCTTTTGTGCAATATTTTTGGAATACTTGAGATGTGCTCAGGGAATGCAGAGATGATTTTGACATGGTCCCTTCTCTCTAGGAGTTTGCAGCATGCAGGAGAGACAGATTAGCGCAGTGGTTCTCAACCTTCTGGCCCTTTAAATACAGTTCCTCATGTTGTGACCCCCAACCATAAAATTATTTACTTCATAACTGTACTTTTGCTACTGTTATGAATCGTAATGTAAATATCTGATATGCAGGATGGTCTTAGGCAACCCCTGTGAAAGGGTCATTCGACCCCCAAAGGGGTCACGACCCATAGGTTGAGAACCGCTGGATTAGTGGGTAGCGGCTGCCCAGTCCCTTCTTCCTCCTCCTAGCAGAATCCCAAACCTGTTCCAAGTCCTCCCTTCACCTCCCCTACACACTATACACACTACACACACACACACACACACAGAGCGCTTTGAGGGTAGGGTGCAGGTAGTGTGAAAGCTGATATTATGAGGAAGGGAGAAGGGCCTGCACTGAAAGTCCATGATATCACTGCAAGGACTGGCCGTCCCACCCCGGAGCTGGGCTGCATGGCCTGCTGGGACAGGAGCAACACAGGACAAAGCGACCACAAAGAAAGCCAGTGTGTAGTTGCGGTTCAGTCATTCTCACTATTCTAAAATATTGTATTGTATAAATATACCACAATTTATTTATTCATACAGTAAATGGCCATTGGATGGTTTCTAGTCTCTTAATATTGTGTTCCTTTGAGGGAAGTTGTTTAATTTTTGTTATTATAAACAATGCTGGTACAAACATTCCTAAACAGGTCTCCTGATGATATAGGCGAATGTTCACATATACAGGATAATACCGAATTGCTTTCCCCATTATGGTACCAATTGACATTCCCACAAGCAGTGTGCAAATGTTGCATCTGCTCCATATCCTCATGCACACTTGGTTTTACACTGTTTAATTTAAAAAAATCTAGTAATTTCCAATGCAAATTTGATTTTTGAATTTTTCTGATTACTGATAAGACATTATCATGAATATTGGTCATTTATGTTTTTGCTTCTGTGAAAGCTTATTAAGCCTTTTGCCCATTTTCATTTTGAGATATTTGTATTTTTCTAGCTGATTTTTTTAGGAATTATTTATATATTCTGAATAATAATCATTTGTCAGTTATATTTGTTCCAAATACCCTCTTCCATTTTGTAATGCATATTTTCACTTATTTTATAGTGTCTCTTAATAAACAAATTTTTCTCATTTTTATGTATGCAGATTTATCAATATTTTCTTCATGGACAGTACTTTTTTGGTCTTTTTAGTAAGTCCTTCTCTGCTTCACAGTCATAAAGATATGACCTTCTATCTTCTGCTAAAAATGCTAAAGTTTTGCCATACACCTTTAAGTTTAATTCACCTGGGATTAATTATGTGTATGGTATGAGATAGGGATTCCATTTCTTTTTCTGTATAGATCACCAGGTGTCCCAGGACAATTTACTAAATTATGCTTCCTTTCTCCAATGACTGCAATGCTAACTCTGTCATATATTAAGTTTCCATATACACAGGTCTGCTGCTGGGTTTTCTATTTTATTCTATTATCAATTTGTTTAGTCCTGAGCCAATACCACCTTGTATTAATTACCATAACTTTATAAAGAAGTGTTGATATCTGGAAGAGCTAATTCTCCCACCTTCTTTCTCTTTTAATAGTGCTATTCTTAGCCTGTGTTCATCAATATACATTTAGGATCGATTTGTCAAGGTCTTTGAAAACCTGTTAGGATTTTTATTGGAATTGCATTGAGTTTATAGATCAATTTGAGAAAAATTGACATCTTCATAATATTGACTTTTCTTATCTATCAAAATAGTGTGTCCTCATTTATTTAGGTCTCTTTTAATGTTTTCATTCACTCAGAATTCAACTGCTCTGTGCCAGATACTACTTCAAGGGGCAAAAACTCTTGTCCTAATAGAACATACATTCTGGTATAAGTAAGTAAAATAAGTAAAAAAATAAGTAAAAGAAAGGCCAGGAGGAAGCGAGAAAACTGACCACGTGCCTATCTGAAGGCAGAGGGATATCAAGTTTAGGCAGTTTCATCTAAGAGTCCGGGATGGCTGGAGTACAGACAGCAGAGGCAGGTGTTGTAGGAGATGAGATCGCAAAGGACACAGGACCCACTCACATAGGTCAGAGTGGGGCCCAGCTGGTGAGCAGAGGAGGCATGTGAACCGACTGTGCAACAGGACTCCCCGGGCTGCTGTGTTGAGAACCTGTGAAGCAGGACGTGGGAAGCGGGAGGCCATATATGAGGTTCCTACAATAATCGAGATGAGGTGTGACGGTGGCTTGGGCCAGACTAGTGCCGATGGGGTGGTGAGAAGTAGTGCCAAGAGGATTTGCTGATGGACCAGATGTGAGGTAGGAGAGGATCAAGGGCTGATGAGTGCAAAGCTGTATGCCTGAGCAATGGGAAGGATGGCATTGCCATTTACCAAGGTGGGGAAGAACAGATTGGAGGGGAATGTCAGGAGCTCAACACCAGACGTGATAAGTTTGATATTTCTAGTGGACAGCTCAGAGGGGTGCTCTGCGGCCGGCTAGATACAGAAGGCTGGAGTCCAGAAGAGGGACCCTGAACGAAGTTAGACATGTGGAAGTCATCTACACTGCATCAGTTAGGATTCCAACAGAAAATAACGGCATAGCCAAGTTAGGAATATTTAAAAAGGGTTTCTTTACA